CTTTCTACTACCTCCGACTGCAGCGATGAGTTTGAAACTAGTGACGTCATTGCAAATCTCGGCCCTGTTTCTAGAGAAATAAACTTATCTCGACTATTACAGCAGGACTTTAAACTTTTATAACAAATTATATATACCGTATCACTCTACGGACGTAGCAGAGTGTATTTCTTGTGTTTGCCCAGAACCGTCAACTCGTCCAGTGCAGGTCTCAATTGTTTCTTTTGCTATTGACAACACAACATTGTTTCTCACTACGTATTGATATTTTTCTTTTTTGTATTCATTTGTGGTTTATTATTATTATTATTATTATTATTATTATTATTATTATTATTATTATATTATTTTTAATTATTTATAATTTTTATTTCTTATTCATTTTTATTATTATTATTATCAATTTTATATTTATCATTTTTAATTTATTATTATTATTAATATTATAATAATAATATCATTATTATTTATTATATTTTCTCCCCCAGACCCTGATGTGGGCCATTGACCTGTGCTCGAGTGAACGAACCTAAAAAAAAAAAAATCACTAGTTAACAAGATGTAACCGCTAGACTAAGGTTAGAATATAAGTACCTCTGGCAGTATGTACCTCAGACAGACTCCGCAAGGTGGATAGCCCACCTGCTGTCAACCTCCTATATTTCCCACTTCTGAACGTTACCTTGTACTGTACCCCCCAGAGCTAATGCTCTCTTCTATCCATATCACCAACCAACCTCAGGCAGATGTGAACTAAACTAAATGCAAAGTGTGTGGCCAGACATATGGCCACACACTCCAACACTACGTCCTCGACTGTGTGAAAATAGAACCTTTTAGGGACAGGTCCAACACAGTGTGAAATGGCGCAACAGCTTATCTCTACTGGCAATATTACTGAAATATTAAGATTGTATCCACTTTTTTGCACTTAGTAGCTATATCAGTTCTCGTGTATTGAACCAAATACACAGTGTGCCTGAACACCTCTCACTCAAATGTGAATAACAAAGTGTGGCCAGGCATATTGCCTTACACTCCTGTACTCACGCAGTTGTGAATAAGTCATCCTGTATGTACAGAACTAAACAAACAATGTGTTTGAAATAGTCTGTAACATTCAGTGCCATAATATCCAGACCACTGGGGTCTGTTATGCCCTTTGTCATCTCTGATCTGTATTCCTTTGGGTGCACAATAAACTAGCTGCTGTATGTGGCAAAATTAAAACAAAATTATTTCCTGTAATAAAAACAATGTGGAATAAATAACTATGATATAAAAATATTCTTAATAATATAAATAATCAGATCCTATTAATATTACATTTAGTGCAAAGAAAAAGTCATTTACTTTGAGATTTCTATATGATAAAAAAAAACTTTTATATTTTATATTAATTTAAATACATGTTAAACCTAAGCTCGTACAATATCTTCCCAATTTTAACGATTCTTGCCCAGCCCTACAGTATGTTTACCACTCATTAGCAAGGCAGTTTCTTTGCGCAAGGTGCTCATTTTTTTTACAGTATTTATTTTTATTTTTATAATACATATCGGGATTTAGTTATTATTTATATGAAAATGCAATTTTATTTTATTTTTATTATATTTTGGTCATAAATACGAATGAAATAAGGACGTAAATTGAATTGGGCCCTAAATTAACTTGGGTTTTAATATGAACAGTTGTTGGTCGACCTGTTGTTATCGGAGGCTTTACTGTACTTTCCTTGGGAAGACATACTGGTATACAATGAAAAGTGGCAGCAAGAATGGGCCAGTTTAAATCTTCATACTAACTACCCACATGGTCTATACGCAAGAGGATAAAAGAAAAGGAAAAGTAATCAGAAACGTGACCGATCGGCCAAGCGGCTAACGAGCTGATCAGTGGTGAAGATGATAAATGTAAAAGTAAATACTAAATCAATGTAATCTTTTATGACGATTTTACTGAACAAAACTGATCTGAACAGTATGAAGTGCAACATATATAGTCTGTCTTACAAGTCTCTCAGCCATATCTTTGGCCACAGAAGCCATCTTGCTTTACTCCATGTCTGTAATTGCACCAAAACCTGTATACAGTATAGTCTGGATTTACGCAAAATAACAGAACATATGGGATTAATTGAAATAGAGACTGGGCCGACCCCAGACTACCCTTTCTCCGACACAATACGTACGTTGTAGTAAAAATAACATCTTAATTTTATGATGGTATGCACACACACATAATATATAAATAAAAAACTACACTACAGTACAAATATAAAGGTTTTTAACACTTACGTTAGTAGAAGAGATGGGTCGGCACACGGGGATGGTGGCTGGTTCCGAGGCAGAGGGCAGATTAGCGGCCCTCCGGTGAATCACTATCACTATTCACAAAGGTTTGCAGGGCCTCCCTGACAAACCCCTCAAAGTCCATATCGTCACTGTGACTCACTATCACTGACTTGGGCTGGCTGTGGTTGTGGTGGGTTGCGGGCGAAGAAGTCCGTAATACTATGTTGACGACTAGCATTGATGTTGTCGAGATACATCTCGAGATATGGCTCCATAGACTGCAACAGGAGGTTATTGGTAACTTCATAGCGGTGATTCACTGGGTCTTTTGAAAGGATGAACTTGACTTTCTCGACATACTCGATGGCCTTCTTTACATCACTATGACTTAACTGTTGTTCTTTTTCTGCCGTACCACCTGCCTCCTCACTGACATCATCTTCCAACATCTCGTTGGCAGTCACCTCAGGTTGCCTGATTACCGCCAGGATGTTGTCGTTGGTGGTCTCGGAGAAGCCTGCAGCTCTAACACTCTGTGCAGCTTCTCTTGAAAGGTCCACTGCCACTGCAACAGACTGAGCCTCTCCAGCCACAGGTTCTTCTGCCTCCCACCTGGGATACCCTGCAACACATGCCGCCACGTGTGACGAATCATTGCCACAGACAGCTGCCCCCATGCCTCCACCAAGAAATCAACAGCTTTCTTGACGTTAAATTCTTTCCAAAACTGTTTGACGCGCATTTCATGCTGAGCCAACTCTTCTTCCGGATCCTCATCCTCGCTCTCTCTAACGGTGTCACTCAGGTTCTGAATTCATCCTTGGTGTTGGTCAAGTCATAAAGGAGCCGAAACTTCTTTGCGGAGAAAACAGCCTTGACATTACATATCAACTCTTGATCCATGAGCTGGATTAATGACGTAGTGTTAGGGGGAAGGAAGACCACTTTTACGTTGGGGTGACGATCCAGCAATAGGGGCGAGTGTCCTGGTGCGTTATCAAGGAGCAACAAAATGTTAAATGGAACATTATGCTGCTTGCAGAATTTCTGGACGTCAGGAACGAAACAGTCGTCAAACCAGGAGAGGGACAGACCAGTGAACATCCACGCCTTCCTGGAGGTTAGCCAGTGGACATTAATCTTGCTCATGTCCATGTTCTTGTAGGCGTGCGGCTTGCGGGCTGTGTGGATCACCGACAACTTGAGCTTACAGGTGCCGGAAGCATTGGTGGTGAACAGGATGGTGATGCGCTCCTTCTGCAACTTCCGGCCCCTACACTTGCTGGCAGACTTGACTATGAAGGTCTTGGATGGCAATTTCTTCCAAAAGAGCCCGGATTCATCCATGTTGAACACCTGGTCGTCGGTGTACTGTCCTTCCTCCATAATTTCTCGTAAGAATGGTGGAAAATTCATGGCGGCAGCACGGTCCTTCACCAACAATTTCAATGTTCGTTATTTTGTTGCGTTTTTTAAACCCTTGCAGCAACCCAGCAGAAGCAGTGAAGTGTTTGGGCTCTGCAATATCCATTTTCCGTGCCACTGCTACGTACAGTTCACGGGCGTAGTCCTGCACCGCGCGAGTGTCCACCGCCACGTTCCTTCTCGCCTGAAGAATCAAGTAGCTCACCAATAAATCCTCAGTCTTGAGCAGCACTTTATTCTGACAATATTTCACCATTGACACACCTGCAGATTTTGTGATGCTCATATGTTCTTTAATCTTGGCGGCATCCTTCTTGATCGTCCGGATCGTAGATTCGCTCACGCCATGCTGGCAAACCAAATCAACTTGTCTTGTTCCTTTATCCAACTCCTGCACGATTTTGTATTTTACTTCATAGCTTAAAGCGCATCATATCTTCTTGGGCTTGGGGCGGCTTGGTCCAGGTAATTCAAGGTTTTTCTGGGGTGGTGGGGGTCCAGCAGACGCCATTGTTGAACAGATTAGCGGGGAACAAGAGAGAACAGTATACGCAGAGACTGAGAACAATGAGACTGGCGCAGCTTAAGTCAGTGACTTATTCCCTCTGGTGTCAGGCCACGTCATGTTACATTAGATCAATCACAGCTAGCGGCAGAGGGAGGTAAGGATGAGTGGCCGAATCACAGCTAGCGGCAGAGGGAGGTAAGGATGAGTGGCCGAATCACAGCTAGCGGCAGAGGGAGGTAAGGATGAGAGGCCCAATCACAGTCCGATACGTCATATGACGTCAGCAATAACGTAAGAGCGACATACTGAGCACCCTCCCCGTGCCGCTTCCCGTGTATGGTCAAGAATGTACCGCATAACTAATAATTGACGCGTCTCGCGCCGCTTGCCGCATAAATGATAGAATTTACCACGTAACTTATAATTGGCGCGTCTGGTCATGTGCTGCGTAAATGACCAAACGCGTAAAGGAAATCCGCGTAAATCCAGACTATACCGTCCTATGTTCTGATGATTTTAAATACTTTGTTTGAAGATGTACTTGGAAAAGTTAACAGAATGTTGGATATATATTTTTTACATCTAATAATCAATGTATATATGAAAAAATCATTAAAATCAGTTAATGTTGGACAGAGGGATAATCTTGGTCTGATTTCATTACATTATATTATATAGATGTTAAGATGAAGGTTATGTTAGACTATGCTGTCTGTGCTAGGCTGTACTTGACTAGTATTCAAAGGATTGACTAAATAAATATATAACCTGAATTTAGTACGTCTTTTTATTTCAATTCAAGGAGAGCACAACCACACCAGTGCTGGACATATCATAACATCTAACTACATAACAATAATGTCTTGTTTTCACATTAACTAATTACAGTAATGGCTTCCAATCCACAGAACTTGGGCCTGGTCAAGATGTATTTTACTTTATCTTCACTCATGGTCAGTTCCTTAGCCACTAGGGCAGTTGGTCTGTTACACACTGTTGGCAAATACTGTACTGGGCCTGTAAGTCTCTTCACTGCACCTGAACCAGACTTGATCAACATTGGTACATGTTCAGGTACATTCAGGAGCCCATACATGCCCAGTGTAATGTGAAGAGTGTGTAACAGACATTAGATGGTGTGTTGACCAAAGGCAAAGATGATAAACAAGATACAGACTGTCCAGATTTAAGATCATAAAAATGTGAAAAAGAAAACTATGACACTTAAAACTTTTTGATGCAGTGTAGTGTAGTATGGTAGCTGTAGTTGGCACTTGGTCCTGAATACTCCCAACCAGAACTGAAGGAAGGGTTCAGGATATCTGGCTACTTTACACTTTCATAGAAAATTTATTATACAGGTACTGACCATTATACAATTGATTGATATGTGGTTGATCAGTTTTACAGTGTTAAGAAATTACCACCAAATACTGTACTGTACCGCTATATGATTGCTTAGATCAGATTTACAATGGTCTTTACCCGATGGCTACATGAATGCTTTTCCTGCATTGTCAGTGCTATTCCGAGATATGATGACACAATCTCAGAGTGGCGTGACATACGAGACCCATGCGGGATGTTTGGGAGGCTCTGCCCGCCCCCGTTGATTGTCTGGCTGAGCAGCTGAACTGTGCACATAAAATAAAATATACTGTACCAGTAAATGTGAGGAACAAAAAAATACTTATAAATAAAAGAAAAGAAAAAGTATTGCATTGCCATTTGGCAATTACTGTATTTCACAATACACAAGACATAGAACAGCTGAGATCCCCCACTCCGCTCCCCCGCTGTGTGAGATAACTCTCCCACACCTCAGAAATATTTATTCCCTTTATATTTTATTATTATTATTTTATTTTTGCAAATTCTGTGTATAAGATTGTGTGTGCATGTAACAGAGTTAAAAGACAAAATGAAGAAAATTAACTTTGTCTACCTGAAGTTACGAGTTGAAAACTAACCACTCTGAGTGCTGACTCTGCCTCTTCAGGGAACCTGTTTTACCCCAGAAGTTAATAATATCGGTACACAATTGATCACCCTTTTTATGTCCCTAACCCCATCATATAGCGGTCAACATCTGTACAGTACTTGGAAAACAATATTCTCTCTGACTCTGATAATCACAAGTAATTCATTACAACTAACATCATTGTCATACATTCTGAATAACTACTATTGCCGGGGCTAAATGTTGATCACTATCACCTTGGTTAATGAGGCACAGCAAGATCATGGTCCCAAAGAACTGAGGTAATGATGTATGATGGGAACTTACTAACAAGTATCACAGAGTAAAGGCACAAATGTTTTAATAATTATGTTGATCAATGTTTTAAAAGTGAAGGATTGTTTTACACAATAATAAAAGTCAAACAAAGGTACAGTTAATGATGGCAGATATATAAAACTTGACTTTGTATCACATATATATGGGGGTAAAACCTTACATTAGTACACACAAGTTATCAGAACAGGACTCAAAACCTTAACTGTATTAATGTTGAAATCTTAAAGCAGTAGGAGTAATACATATAATTTACAAGATATTACAGGTAGTTTTCCTATTCAAAACTTCTGTTAACAAAGACATTACTGTACTAATGTAATATGCAGTAAACATACTGTAAAAAATAAACAACTTTATAAAACAAACTTTACAACATTGTTTTTATTTTCAATGTACAGCAGAAGACTTATGAAAATATTTTATGAAATTGATATTTTTCTAAGTACTGTACCATGATACGAAGCAGGTCACAATACAAATATTCTATATTAAAACGTAAGTACACTTGTTATGTCTCTCTCTGCAGCTAAATGACATAAAACAATGATTGTCACTACAGACATGAATATTTATTACATGTTCAGTTCAGCAATTCTATCAGTGGTGGACATGTTGGCATATACCGGTACATACAAATATTCTGTGTTTAGTATCAACTTACACCTAACACAAAACTCATACAATATTGGAAGCAGTACAGGTTGTGTTACCGAATAAGACATTTAAGACTATCCATCATTTTACTGACCCAAGCAAAATTTTCTATTTTCTACAGTCATATTATTTAGCTAAAAATATAAAAAGATGAGGGGATTTGTTATTTATCCTTTTCAACTATTGTAATTGTTGGATTTTACTGTAATAAGTGGTTAACTAGCTAGGGCTTTGATGTGTGGCGTGACAGGAACAGAGTCTGTGTACAGTCACTCACCTGCACGAACCACTGCCTCGGATCATGTCTCTTTCCAAACACAACTAATGAGGTGAATATAACAGGGTATCCTTACCTTGTGATGTTTGAGACCATACTGCCTCCTTGGACATGTCTGCCCTCCTCAACAAGGAGAGGCCTCTCCCCGATACACTCATCCACATCATGGTCGAGTAAGTACATGAATGAACTCTCCTTTTTTGCTGAAGAAGCTTAGTTTGGACAAAGGTATAATGCGATGAACAAGGTCAATTTAATGATGATATTAGGATCTCAGAATATGAGTGACTGTACAAGACAGACTTCTGCTCCACCATTCTGCCTGTTTGTAGGATCAAACCCACATCCAGTATAGCATACAGGTAGCTGTAAATTTTGTAGCCCATATTAATATTGTTCAGGTACTTTGTTATTCTCTTACTAAAAATGCATTCTTGTACCCTTTCTGCTGACGTGTTTACCTACTGTGTCAGGTCTTTGTTGAGGAATTATCACAGTAAGAATTAACCACATAAATGATACTTTATTTCTGGTCCTACTGATGCTTTTTTTTTAATTTCTATCAAAGATTCTATTAATGCATGAATCAAGCATGTTTACTGTACTCCAGTGTACATCAATTTATGCCTGAATGCATGGTCAAGTATGTTTTTATTATATAAAAAAGTGGATACTGTTAAACTCAGCATCATCATTTTGTACAAGCATCTTCTTTCTTATTGTCTACGTGATTCTGCTTGGTTAGAAATGTGTCCATTCTTCCTCTGGACTGTCATCAGCTGATCCACTTTCAGAAGGCAGAGAATCGTTTCCCTGATACAAGTCAGGTGAAGGCTTTCTCATGCTACTAACTTTGCCAACTGTGGCATATATTTCCTGCTTATCTACTTCTAAATTATCATACAGGCTCTCACGATCATCAGATGTTCGGCCACGCTTCTCTACTGGTGCTAGCATGGATGGTTGGAATAAGATTCTAGGTGTTTGGAATGTAGAAACAGATGATGTATCTTCATAGTCAACTGGATGGAGGTTTAACAAGTGCATAGGAAGAGTCACCTGCTCATGACTGTTTGAAGGGGGAGGTGGTGGCACTTGTCCATCTCCCTGGTGTGAGGTAAGCACTCGGAACACCTGTACAGAAACATCGTCAGTTAGGGGATGATAATGAACTTAATGTAACAATGGTGGATAAAAACATACAGCCAAAAAGTCCTAAAAGAATGGTTAACATAGATTATGTTAAAGTTCTGGCTTATGTAAATGGTTACAGTGTACTGTATTAAATTATATTTCAATGCCCAGGACCTAGCCATGGTTTCACTTGATACTGGTGCACAGAAGCATTAACTGGTCAAAGAGAGTAAACAACAAGACCAGGGGCATTACTGGTCCTGTGTCTCAGTCAACTGGGTTTATCTACAGTACTAAGAGCTGAAGAACTAAGGGGAGGATGAAAGTTGCTGCATCTCTGAACTATGACAGCAGATGGGACCCTCTTTTCCTTACTTGATTTTGTTAACATCAGCTACACAAAAGAGTTTCTTAATTGTCCCATTCTTTGCCTTTACTTTTTGTCTACACTATTTGTTTGTCTCTTATTCTAAACTATAACCATAAAAAGTGAATGAAAAAGGAGAAGTCTAATACAGTATCTGTACTGGTAAACTGTGGAATGCTCTGCCTTCTTCTGTGTTTCCAGACTCTTACTTGAAAAAGCTGGTTTTCCAGCATCTTCATGGTGTTGATTAATACTGTATAGTCTTTTTCTCTTCTATTTTTAATTTCTTTTCACTCTTAATCCCCTCCCACGGTGGGTTGATGACCTGTGCCCGGGTGGGCTATTCCCCAAGAAAAAAACAAAAACAAAATCTCCTGATTTATGATTTTATGGGATACATTCCTGGCCTGTCTGACACAGACATGTTTCATACAAAAAGCTAGCCTACAATAATAAAATATATGCAAATAATTAAACAACACTCACCACATTAATAACAAGTCTCCAGCTTAACAATGTCTAACTTTGTCTTCAGAGAGACAGTCTTCCTCAAAGCCTTGTTTACCAGAGGCAGGAGACTCAGAATGACGCTTACTAACAAAATCTGAACGATAGTGTTTTCCTCTCACCAATTACAGCAAATATCAGCGCAATCACAAGGTTACGAAATTATAAATACTGTAACGATAATATTGGTTACAGTAGTGAGAGCAGGTGCAATCACGCTGGAAGAAAGCACAGAAACGATATACCCAAGGTGGCTGTCAGGCAGCGCGTGGGTAGGTGAACTGTGCAGAGGATGGAAAAGCAGTTTCTGTGTATAGTGGCCACCTAGAATTTGACAAGTGAAGGGAGAGATAGGTTTCCCAGTGTTTACTTTTACTTTTATCCTTTTCACCACTGATCGGCTTGTGAGCCGCTTGGGTGATAGGTCACGTCTCTGATTACTTATCCCTGTCTTTTATCCTCTTCACCAAAAGATCGGCTCGTTAGTCGCTTGGGCGATCGGTCACGTCTCTGTTACGCCCTGTTGGCAAGTACTGGGCATGCACCGGCTCCTGAATGTACCTGAACCCTCTCCAGTGTTGGTCAAGTCTTGTCTTGAAAGAGCTCACACTCGGTGCCGTCACAACACTTTCTGGTAGATTGTTCCAAGAGTTTACAACCCTCATTCCAAAAAAAGTTTGCCCTCACAGTTTTCTGGACTTGCGACTTCTTCAATCTTGAGCTGTGACCCCTTGTGGGGTGAGCGTCCGCCAGCTCCAAGTATGGACACTCGACTCAGTAGTGCCCCTTGAGATGTTTATACACTTTAATTAGGTCACCCTTACCCGTCTGTAGTATAAGCTAGGCAAGTTCAAGGGCTCCAATCTCTCAGGGTAGCACCAGCAAGTTTAGCCTCCCAATAGGTATTGTTAACATGGAATTTTCATAACACAAATCGCTAGAGGGTGTTAAACCTAACTACTGTTAACGCGGATTATTGTAAATCAAATAATTGTAATCGGGGATGCCTGTATTTCTCAACTGAAAATCAACTTTACAAAATAATCTATTTTACAGATGATCTGAGCATTTTATATATGAAATTTGAGAATAACAAATAATTTTCATTAATTTAATTGTCCACATATTATATAAGAGAACAGGAGGAGTGACACTGTGTGTGTGGTGGTGTGAGTGAGAGTCTACTGTACTTGTCTTCATATTAGCTTCAGTAACAAGTTATATAATGATTGTAGGAGAATGATAGCATATTAAAATCTTACATAAGAACATAAAAATGGAGGAAACTGCAGCGGGCCTATTGGCCCATACTGGGCAGTCCCATTTACACCCAACCCCTATTGCTCAAATACCCATCCAACCTATGTTTGAAGCTATCTAGCGTATTCGAGTTAATGATGATATTTGGTAATTTGTTCCACTCGTCCACTACTCTATTTCCAAACCAATGTTCACCTATTTCGCTCCTAAATCTAAATTTGTCTAATTTAAAACCATTGTTACGAGGGTGTGGAGCTGGTGGTCGCTTGGCAGCAGAGTCGGTTGTGGTCGATAGCACATTGTGTTACTCTGGCTTAGGATGTAATGTAAGTTTGTAATATTTATGTACATTTCTATGTGGTAGGATTAGGGTGATTATTAGGGTATTGTTTTACTGTATATTTATGTAACTGTTGTATGAGTGTGGCGATTGTTGCTGGTTGTTGGTGTTTCTTGTCAATATAATGTATTGTGCATTCCAACATTGCGTTTGCTACTCCTCTCCTATAGTGATGTAGACTACCGGAGAAAGACTGAATAGTGCAGGAACAATAGGCTAAACATGAGGTGGAATGTAAGTAAACAAAAAGTTCGAGTCTGTGGGGGTCGGTTACCGCCCGGTTCATGGTAAGGTGTCCAGCTCAGGAGCATAAGTACGTAGACCAAATAAAACTAAGAGTGTTAGAGAATAATGAAGTAAGTTAGTGTAAAGGTATGTGGAGAAACTAATAATACAGTATTACCCCGCTTAACGCGGTTTCGCTTAGCGCGTTTTACCGTATACGCGGTGCCTTGCCAGAGCCGAACTTTCACTTAACGCGGGTTTTTTCCACGTATACGCGGCGAGTGTCCGGCTCGAGAGCTATTTTTAGATTCGCCCCACCCGCCACCCTGTCTGACTGCCTGTTTTAGCTCATAAAATTCATACAAATTACCCGGCCAGAATATAATTTACATTGCTGGAATTCTTACAATATGATGATCATTTTGAATATAAACTTCATAGATTTTTCATTAGACATACAAATTTTAGATATAATGTTTACTCTGAGTAAATATGTTATTTTTTGTGCAAAATATATGGCATTTGTATTCAAAATATTCCTGGGCTTACAAGGAATCCAGCAATGTCAATTATATTATCCTAACTTTAGTTTGAGGTATTATTTATTACTAAAAAGGTAAATATTCTGGTTTTCCCACACATCTAGTAGGGAGGGTTGGTGGGGGGTGGGGGGGAGGGACTGACCTTCCATCTGTTACCATGTGAAGAATATTTTTTTTTTTATTAACTGAAGATATTTGTTTTAGCTCATAAAATTCATACAAATTACCTGGTCATAATATAATTTACATTGCTGGAATTCTTACAATTTGATGATCATTTTGAATATAAACATCATATATTTTGCATTAGACATAAAATTTTTAGATATAATGTTTACTCTGAGTAAATATGTTATCTTTTGTGCAAAATATATGACATTTATATTCAAAATATTCCTGGTCTTACAAGGAATCCAGCAATGTCAATTATATTATCCTAACTTTAATCTGAGGTATTATTTAATACTAAATGTTAAAATCTAGTTTTTTCACCCACTCTTTCTCTTGAAGGGAGGGTTGGTGGGAGGTGGGGGGAGGGTTGGGACGGACTGACCATCTGGCTGTTGGAAGAGGGGGGAGGCAAGGTGGGGTACTTTGATTGACAGATAGTGTCGTGAAGAATATTTTTTTTTTATTAACTGAAGATATTTGTTTTAGCTCATAAAATTCATACAAATTACCCGGCCAGAATATAATTTACATTGCTGGAATTCTTACAATTTGATGATCATTTTGAATATAAACATCATAGATTTTGCATTAGACATACAAATTTTAGATATAATGTTTACTCTGAGTAAATATGTTATCTTTTGTGCAAAATATATGACATTTATATTCAAAATATTCCTGGTCTTACAAGGAATCCAGCAATGTCAATTGTATTATCCTAACTTTAGTTTGAGGTATTATTTATTAAAATTTAGTGGTTTTCCCCAAAATTTCTCAGAGGGAAGAGCCAGCAGTGTAGTGTGAGAAGAGGGGGAGGGAGTTGAGTCCATTATTTGAATGGACATTAACTTGGCCACTGTATTTCTCTATTTCTCTTAAGTATTAATTGTGTGCATGTACCATCATAAAATTAAGAAGTTATTTTTACTAGAACATAGGTATTGTGTCGGAAAAAGTGGAGTTTGGGGGTCGGGCCAGTTTCTATTGGAATTAATCCCATATGTTCTGTTGTTCACTTAGCGCGGTTTTCACTTAACACGGTACCCTGTGGGTTTTATTGACCGCGTTAAGCGGGGTACTACTGTATATCCAAATTGAGACAAGTACTCTGGTTTATTACATACATGTACTTTCCTTGGACACATGTTCAAGACAGTATCTACTTTACATAATTACTGTATCTATTTTATGAAAGCCTCTCAGTCCTAAACTTTTGGTTGACAGATACTTAACTGTACACCAAATAATGAACATCATCTATAATTAATTATCATGTAAACATACCTCATTTAATGTTGTCTGTGACACATCATATTCTGTGACACCCATCGACTTGGCAGAATTAAGTGTGTCAAAGATGAGTCGTAGTGGCAGATGACGACTCACTTCTACTACTAGTGTCAGGTGATGCTGTTCCTGTCAATGAGGAAGCCATAAAATAGTTATGATCCAGTAGATGACTGTATAAAGATGTATTAAAAAATGTAACAGGTTACTTGTTGAGCCAATGTTAGTCAGCACAGGAGAACAAATACAGTTGCTTTAATCTACTGTATATGTTGATATTCACATGTACAGTACTTCATCCATCACTTCATCCTTAGACTTGCACAGAAGCCTAAATCATCTTAGCAATATTCAGTCACCATCTTACTTTCAAGTTCATCATGAACTTGAGTTTGTTGTCATTTATTATTCCTTAATAGTTTTAACTGTGTCGGGGTGATGTTGTCGCACTCATAAAAAGACAAGAAGCTTCTTGAAAATGTTGAGGGTTGAGCTATGGGGATGGTGCCCACTCCTGACAGATGGCCTTATGAAATATATCTCCAGTGACTAAACATCTTCAAGCTGATAGACAGAAGGCTTCATGCTAACAATATTATGATTTTTATGATTCTTCTTAACCTAAAAGATTGAAACGAAAGAAATTTCCCACCAAAGCAAACATAGACCAAATGATATGTTTACAGCCTTGACAAGCCAAGACCTCACTCATTCATTACAAAACATCTCTCTCTCTCTCTCTCTATAATGAAACAACAAACAAACATCATACCTTGAGCAGAACATCTTGAAGTTGGCTGCGTAAGAAGTCCACAACGTACGTCATGTCCTCAATATCATTTGTTTTCAGCCGTATCGTGTACTTGTCACCAAGTCTAAAATAAAGTTATTTCATAATTTAAACACAAAAACAATAAACTAAGAAACAGCTGAAAAATGTGATTCTCACAAATCTTGTGTTTGGTATTTACAGACAGTACTGTACAGTAGGATCTCAAGTTTAGCGAGCTTTAGATTTGCGTTTCATGTGTTTCGTGTCACGTTTAAAATTTCCAGCCTCTCAAGAATAACGATTTTCATTACCGGTTTTGCAAGTCAAGGGATAGTGGGCAGCATGCATTGTCACGGTCCTTTGTTATCCGCCGTGTTTTTTGTTTATGGCAGTTAGTTTAAATGAGTGAGAGTGAGCGGTGCACTGACCTTGGATAATTATATAAACCATTGTGCTTACGTTTCACGAGATTCTTTTATAACTACTGTATTAAAGATTCTTGTGTACAGTATTAATGATTCTTGTACAATAACGATGAGTGAAGTGTGTAATGTAAATGTCAGGAGCAGTTCTGGTAGTAATGATGGCCATAGAGAAAGTCAACAAGGAAAGCCCCAAGCCAAGCATGACTACCTTAAGGGGATCAAGAAGAGTAAATACACCATTGAAATGAAACGAGAGATGGTTGAAATAATCAAAAGTGGTGCTCGTACCTGTAAAATCACGCATAGGTTCAACTGCCTCAAATCTACCATACGTTCCCTTAAGAAGAACAAGGAAGCCTTAACTGCTTCTGTGAATGTATTCTCAAGATTTTCTAGTAACAAGACGTTCTCTGATACTTCACAACGAAATCTACTGCTTGTTATCACAGAACATTACCTTCACAAATGGGTGGAATAAGCTGTTTTTTTTCTAAAAAAGTTTTTGTGATAACTGTGAGCAAGGCGACCTGACTGGGCCACAGATAAGGCATCACGCACGTGTTTATTACGCTGCAGTTGCACAGAAGAAACACATTAACTCTCCACCACCATTCAATGCTTCTGTTGGTTTATTGGCTGCTTTTAATAAGTGTTATGAAGTCAAGTTTTCCCACTGCCATGGGGAGAGTGCATTGGCTGATGTTGTAGCAGCAGAAAAATATCTACCTGTCTTTCAAGCTCTTGTGAAAGAGGGTGGTTATTGCCGAGAACAGATCTTCAATTGTGATGAAACTGGCATTTTCTGCAAGCGCTCACCTAAGACCGCTTTCATTGCCAAGGAAGAAAAACAGGCAAGGGGTATAAAGACTTCAAAGGACAGGATTACAGTTTCATTCACAGCTAATGCAAGTGGAGATATCTTGATGAAACCCCTGGTTGTTAACAGTGCTGCCCGTCCTAGAGCCTACCGTCATGCCAATATATCACAGCTCAATGTTTATTGGACATCTAATAAGAAAGCTTGGGTTACAACGTCTCTATGCACCAATTGGTTTGACAAGCACTCTGTTCCTGACGCCCAACAGTACTGCCGGAGGAAGAACATTGACTTCAAAGTGATCCTGGTGATGGATAATGCTCCTGGACACTCTAAGTTTCTAATTGGATGCCACCCTAATGTACAAGTTATCTTCCTTCCTCCTAACACCACATCTCTTTTGCAGCTAATTGACTACGAATTCATCAGTAAAGTTAAACTGTTCTACTATCAGTCACTCTATAAAGACTTTTGTCAGCAGACAGATTCATTAGTTGAATTATAAAAAATCGAGGCAGAAATCTCTGACAGTGACCATTCTCTACCAGCACCAGCTAGCCAGGAGGAGGAGGAGATGGGAGACGATTCGACTCCTAGCACCTCACGTGCACCAACCCGCAACCGTAAAGTGTTATCAGCCTTTGTTCGCTAACCCCTAGGTAAGTGGGGCAGAGCAGACCAAGGCAAGCGGGGAGATACAGTCCGTGGTGGCTACACTAATGGACACGTTGGAGGCAGCATGGTTAGTCCCAGCACCGGGATTTTTTTAATGTTCAGCTTGAAGATTTGCAAGAAATCATTGGTCAACATCAGCAGCAACCAACAATTGAAGAAATGTTTGAGGAGGATGAAGACCAACAAGAACAGAAACCAACACAAGAGGATGATGTTAAACCTGGTGAACCTACTACACGCTAGCTGACTGAGGTATTCGCAAGCATTGCACGTCTCAGTGAACAGCTACAAGAATACGATACCAGGCCTTATCTGCCTTGTCCTTGATAAGGTTATGGAGGAATATAAGGCCATGTACATGTCCCGTGTTAATGCTCGTCAGTACCTCCCTCAGTACCTGAACAAGGCCCAGCCTGTTAATGCTTTGGCAAACATCACTTTAGGAGATGATGATATTGAAGTGTTGGGTGACTTACTGGTGGAAGAGCTGCCTCAAGACTTTGAGGAATTTGATGCTGAGGTTAGAGGAGGTGCAGTAACCAGCCCTCCCTGCTTCAGAACCCATCAACCAGCCCCATCAAGCATTTCACTGATTCTATCAAGGTAAGTTATTCTACAGTATGAGTGTACAGTATATAAATATTATTAACACTATGTGCAATATAAATAAGTATGAATACATTACAGTAATGTAATCTTCTGGTTGGGTTGTAGGGTGTTATAGGGAGGTTAGGGTGACTGACCGCGGAACCGATTAGGCTTATTTACATGTATTTCAACATCACTCGTTTGGCGAATTTAAATTTCCCAATGCTAAAATTGGTACCATTTAGTCGCTAAACTTCAGATCCAACTGTACTGTTTTGTTTTCACGAGATCTGATTTATTTATGTGGATCACCCTTGAATTTTTTTTGTCACATATATTACACATATCTCACTGAGATTGTTATAATATAGAAATAAGAAACAATTTTCAAAACATATCTCAGGTAATAAAAAGTGATGGTGTTACTATATTTTAAATATGAAATACCCAGTATATAAATTGTAGGTTCTCTGACTTACTTGTGTTTGAGATAATGTGGTGATCCCATACACACAAAATATCCATTAACCATGATAGCCATCCTGTGTGACAGCTGGTTGACTTCATCCATGGAATGTGATGTGAGCAAGACAGAGCGGCCGTCCTGAGTCACACTCTGTATTGCTCGCCAGACCAAGCGCCGGGAGGCAGGGTCCATCCCACTGAGAGAGATAAACACTTATGACTAAATCATTATCAGCAATATTTATGGTATCTTTAAATTTACAAGTTATTAGCCAACATTAACTCATCAATGTCTTACCCCACCAAGATAACAAGAGTCATATATCAAGTTTGATCTGATCCTCATGCCACTCCAGTTCATACTAACATCCTTTACTGAGCAAGAAACTAAAAACCATTAGAGAAAAAAACTACAACATAATCAGAATAATGAGATGATATGGTTTGTTATATTGTCAACACTACATATAATGACATCATTCACTCTACTGCTGCATAACAACTTCATATAAATAGAACCACACTCACAGTTATTAAGAGTTGCTTTTTTAACTTTGGTATGGCACTTTTTTTCCCCCCTTTGTAAGCCTTTTGGAGTCCAATAACACAGACTCCACCATGTCCAAGTATAACCAACACATACTAGTTCAACTGTGATACAGTAGGGTCGGGATATATCGCTAGATAGGGTCCAAGGATGTTCGCTATATACTAAATACTAAATCGTGATATATAATTACATCTAATTTATGGGGAAAATAGGGTTAGGTTCTGGAGGCCAATAAAAGTGACTAAACTTGATATAAAATGGCTCAGACTAAAGTTAGCAGAAAATAAATTTCATTGCTGGAATCCTTGCAAGACAGCGAATAATTTGAATATACTGTAATCATATATTTTACACAAGAGATAAATTGTTAAGTCTTTTAGAGTACATTTAAGTATTGTACAGTGAACCCTCACTTTACGCGGTTAATTCAACCCACAGCGGCCCGCGTAAAGTGAGAAACGCGTAAAGTGAACAACATAACATATGGGATTAATTGAAATAGAGACCGGGCCGACCCCCAAACTCCACTTTTTCAGACACAATACCTATGTTGTTGTAAAAATAACTTCTTAATTTTATGATGGTATGCACACACAATTAATAATTAAGAGAAATATCAATAATATTAGGTTTTTTAACACTTACATTAGTAGAAAAGATGGCTGGGCACACGGGGATGGGGGGTTGGTTCCGAGGCAGAGGGCATATTGTTGGCCCTCACCTGTATCAATTGTATCACTATCCACCACAGAGGCTTGCAGGGCCTCTTTGTCAAACCCCTCAAAGTCCATATCCTCACTATCATTATCACCATCACTGACTTGGGCCGGCTGTGGTGGGTGGCGGGTGAAGAACTCGGTAATGTTTTGATGACTGGGCGACCTTGTGCGCACCCTGCTCGCGCCACTTACACAACATGGCAGGAGAGGGCGGGAGAGATGGCGGGAGGTTTGGATCCAAAAATGGCGCGGCTCGCCAGCCGCTCTCCGCGTAAAGGGGTACACGCACTGCGGAATGCGAGCATTCCGGTTTCGGCAGGGTACCGCGTAATGTGGGACCGCGTAAAGCGAGGGTTGACTGTACAGTTTTCAACTACTGTAGTATTTTTTGGGCTATTTAGGGGATGTTTAGGAGTGTTTCTAACTTTATACGGTTTTTGGCTTTATGTGAGGTCACAGGAACATAACCCCACGTAAGTTCTACTGTAAATAAATTTATAGCTATATATTGTAAAATGTTGATAATTTTGGTAGTCGTGATAAATTTGAAATATTTCCTGCCAGATTTCCTTCACGAAAAAAAAAAAAATATCGCTATAATTAGGAAAATGTCTATAATTTGGTAGCACTAATATACAAACTCGTCATATAAAGTTGCTATATATCCCAACCCCACTGAACTGTGAATCACTTCTCTTTCAATGGTATTAGTTAAATTACATATAAATTACTGTGTATTTAAGTAGAAACATCAGGACTGAACCTGCACCATGAGCTTCCACAAACAGAACAGACTAGACTCTAGGGTTGACTGACTTCCCACCATCATAATCACTGTATGACTACAGTACAATATATGTTCATCCATATTAGAAGAGGTTATTTAGCCCAAGATCTTCAGACATAAAAGAGACTATCCAGTAAGTGCTATTATAAGTGACACTACCAGATATCCTAACTACAAAGATAAGGAGCTGACTGGAGAGCATTAATACTCTCAGCAAAATATGTTAAGTCTATATTTCACTCATAACACTAAAGTTGGTTCTGTTTGTCCTGCTGCAGACATTTGTGATCTAAGATACTGACGTGGTAGGTTCATCAAGCAGCACCAGCAGTGGGTTGCCTAAGAGTGTTAGTGCTGTGGACAACTTCCTCTTGGTGCCACCAGACAGTTGCTTTATAATTGTGTTGTCCTCCCCACTCAGTCCCAGCTGCTTAATGACTTGCTCCAACACCTGATAATTACATTCAAGCATTTAATGACAGTAAATATGATGATACTAAAATAATTAACAGGAAAGTCAATTTCAAAATAATTTTGTGGTCATCCAATTAAAAGGTTTGTTGATTCTTATGTCTGATTCTTATACTGAGCATGCAAAATTGTTCTACAAACATTTATAATATTTATTATGTGTAATGTACTGTACTGTACTGTACAATATAAGAAATTGTGAAATCCCAACATCAGGCTGACTTGTGGGTTTGATACACCATCTTAAATATAATAAATATAAGGGATTCATGAACATTCCTGGCTGTTACATTCAAAACAAACTGATAATGACAAACCTAGACTACTTACACCAGCAATCTCTCTCTGTGGAAAACCTCTGATCAGTGCCATTATTGACAGGGCCTCTCTTGATGTAAGGTTAGGGTCCAGGGCATGAGTCTGTGGGCAGTAGCTCATGATGGGGTAGGGTAGAGCCAGCGCTTCCTCCAAGGTCAGCCCATTCACCAGGATCTGTCCTCTCGTAGGTCGTATGTCACCAGTGAGGCAGCGGAAGGCAGTGGTCTTTCCTGCTCCGTTGAGGCCGAGAAGACTGAAACACTGGAGAACAAACTCTGATGTTACAGTAATTTCTTGGAAGTATGGCTTGTACACTACCTCTTGAATCGTTGAAAAAATGGCTGCTCATGAGTTAATGATCAATAAAGTTCTTCTTAAGTAATTTGTCAAACTTTGGCAATTAGAGCTAAAATTATTAAGTTAACAGTGAACGACATATTCCACTGCCTGTGACATCTACCTCATCACAGTAAATACAGCATAATGAAGCTACCTGTAAACAAAACCTTAAATTGGGACAACAATTTGGCACATTCCCAGTACAACAGCTATATTAAAGATGGAGTTATCTTCTACTGGTACAGCACAGTATATCATAAGTCAGTCACACAGTACAGTTGTAAGTTACTGTTTTTTCAAAAGTTGTCCATGTGGAACCAGATTAGCAATACTGAACTACGCAATCAAACTTTTATGGAAATACCTTGAAAAAGTTGGTAAGTTCATTATACAAACCTTTGATTATATGGAGATATATAATCCATATTACTCTTAACTATACCAAAAGATATATTTCATCCAAATATATACTTAATATATACCAATTTACTTCCTGAAATGAATAAACAGGGTAACCAAAATGTCCCTGCAAACCTACAGTAATTAATATTGTAGTTGTTACTTGTTGCCAGTAAACCAGAACAAGGTAATTAACTACACAACTGTACCCTGTATACTGTATTGTTAAATACTGCAGGTGCACAGGGACTTACAGGTCACCTTGTACTGTATATTATAAAACAGAAAATTTCACAAGTTTTTCAAGTACTGTACTGGACTTACCTCCCCTCGTCTCAGAGCCAAGAAGAGATTACTGACGGCTGTTGTTGGAGGAGAGGAGAAGTCTCTTCCGAGGCCCACCAGCCGCAGCACTGTGTCATAGAGTGAAGTGCCACCACACTGGATCCTGTAAATCACAGGATGGAATAAACATACAGTTTGTCTATGTGTAAGTGGTGACAGGTAGGGCTGTATGTGTACATACAGGTTGGTGTAATGCATCTAATGTGGCAGCATTATGGTTGTGTTTAGGTGCAAGCACTGCCTGCTTCCTCTCATTTTCAGCTACCGCCACTGGTTATCCTTTATGGTGAACAGGGAAGCAACTTGCATAAGTCCTCCCCTGCCAGCACACAGTCTCCTCACCATCAATACTCCTGCTGTGCCTCCTCGTGGCAACACACGGTAACTGGGTGCCTAGTGGGCCCAGGCTAGACAAGCAGGGGATATCGGAGCAGCAGTGGGCCCCTGAAGGATGGCGTATAGGCCCACTGGCCTGTGGACACGTCCTGGCCCCTACCAACCAATGCCCCGCTGCCTTGCGGATTAACCTTGGTAGGTATAAGACTATGGGAGTAAACCCCGAACGAAAAATCTGCAGTGGAGCCCTGCATCAGGCAGATATGCTTACAGAGCTCCAGTAAGACCTCAACGGTGGTATAGGAAGAAGAGGTGACCACCAGGGTAACCCAGCGACAACACGGCGAATGAAGGCAATGCCTGATGGACAAGCTACTAAGGCAAAACCAAACAAACTGGGCTATCGGCAGTCCATTGCAACTCTCCCTCTCCCCAGTCATTGCAACACTTGCACCACTGGATGTGGAGAAGGGAGACCCAAGATGTGTGGTTGCAGACTGCACTCCCGCCTCACCACATAAATCAACTCACATGAGGCCATCATCCAGCTCATCATAATTCTCATTATCATCAAAACCCCTATGCCCCCAAAAGTCCTATGGCAACAGATGAGTGTGTGACAGGGACAGGCAGAGATGACTGCCAGGAGTCTCTAGTCACAACTCTGCACACGGGCGGCATAGATAAAATGGTCATTTATGCACTGGGATCTAGGCAGCAGTGTATTCCAGTCCTGTCTGTGCGACTGAGCAGCCCTTACCAAGAGCCGCTCTGCTCACCCCACATGGGGAGGGGGCTAGAAAAGGTGCCCTAAACTTAACCTGCCTAAAGAACCAACCTGACTGGGCAACCACACCCAGTAAGGTTATCCTTATGCAGTTGAAAACACAATCATAATCAAAGGTTAAAGCAAAACAAATAATACAACCTCTTATGGTCGCTGCATGGTATGTTAGGACCTTTCTGGATACTGGCACAAATTAGCATCCTGAAAGAAGAACTGCCCTTGTGGCAAAAGAGCTGGCTAGGTATAACATCAACATAGCAGCCATTAGTGAGTCCCGGCTCCCAGACAAGGGTTGACTCACAGAACGGGGGTCTGGCTATACATGTACCTTCTTCTGGAAGGGTAAGCCTGCTGCGGAGAGAAACCACATTTACGGAGTTGGCTTTGCCATCCACCAATCCATTCTACACAGACTAACTGAAATGCCTGTTGGGATCAACAAGTGCCTTATGATGCTCCGGGTCACACTGAATCACTCACGAGCCGATCAGTGGTGAAGAGGATAAAAATATTAGTGTATATGCCCCAACACTGCATGCAGAGCTGGACATCAAGGAGGCCTTTTAAGCCAACCTCAACAGAGTGCTAACCTCTATCCCTAGAGAAGATGAAGTTGTGCTCCTTGGTGACTTCAATGCCAGAGTTGGCAGAGATGCTGACATTTGACAGGGAACCAAAGAGAGAAACGGAGTAGCCAAGTGTAATCCCGACGGCCTACTCCTCAGCAAATGTGCTGCACACAACCTCACTATCACCAATACCTTGTTTAGGCAGGCCGACAAGTCCAAGAGTTCGTGGCAACACCCCGACCCAAACATTGGCATCTCATTGACTACATCATTGTCAGAGAAAGAGATTGTCGACATGTCCTCATCACCCGAGCCTTGCGTGGCTCAGACCACTGTGACACTGATCATCAGCTCGTCAGAGCCCCAAAACAGTGAAGGCAACAAGCCTCCAAAAGAGGCTTTAACACCAAGCATCTGGAGGATCAAGTGGTAGCACATGCTTTCATAGAGCAGCTCAACGATGGGCTGATAAACAACCCAACAATAAACAAACAAAATCCCAGTGCCGAATGGGGTCCCATCAAAGCTGTCATCACAAAAACCTGCAACGAGACCCTTGGCCAGATCAAAAGAAAACACCAGGATTGGTATGATGAAACGACCCAGTAATTGAAGTACTGATAAATAGCAAACGTGCTGCTCTCACAGACTGACAGAACTACCCACAGTCTCAGACCAAAGCTGATGCTTTCCACAAGAGGAAAACGGTGGTCCAATGCGAACTTTGCAAACTAATGAACGAAAGGTGAAAAAATAATGCGTGTGAAATGCAAAATTTGCAGAACAACACAAGATGCGCGAACTTTTCAATTCCGCTAAAAGAATATATGGCCCAAACTACTCATGGCATGGCCCTTTCTGTTCATCCAACAGTAACTCCCTAATTAGCAATGGAGAAGGCATCCGTCAGCGCTGGAAAGAGCACTACCATTCGCTGCTCAACTGAAACACTGATGTGAATGACCTGACTACCCAGTAGGTTCCTCAGTACCCAGAGCTGACCCATCTCAGCTATCCTCCATCCCTGGATGAGACAGCTACTGCCATCAAACAGATGAAATATAACAAAGCCTCAGGGCCTGACGGAATTCCAGCCGAGGTGTATAAAGCAGGAGGACCTCTGCCTACCAGAGGAAATCCCCCCAAGCTCTTAAATACGCCTCCATCATCAATATTTATAATAACAAAGGAGACCGGTCAGACTGTGGCAACTACCGCAGGATCTCGCTGCTGTCCGTAACTGGCAAGATTATTGCCCGAGTCCTCGTAAACAGACTTCTTCTTGAGGCAGAAGACTTCCTCCCAGAATCTCAATGTGGCTTTAGACTAACACGTGGCACCAGTGACATGATCTTTGCTGCCCGCCAGATACAGAAAAAGTGCAGAGAACAACGTCGTGACTTGTACATGACCTTCATTGACCTTACTAAAGCTTTCAACTCAAGTCAACAGGCAAGCCCTCTGGCAGACCCTTAACCATTTTGGCTGCCCACCAAAATTCATTGCCATTGTGAGGCAACTCCACGATGGCATGAATGGCAGTGTCCTGCACAGTGGCACCAAGTTTGAGTTCTTCCCCATCCAAACGGGGGTAAAACAAGGATGTGTATTGGCACCAACTCTCTTTTTCCATTTTCTTGGCAGCCTTCTTTACTCGTGCCAGTGCCAATTTAGCTGGCGGGGTGGACATCCAGTACCAGATGAAGGGACTTTTCAACATAAGACGACTCCAGGCAGGAACAAAGGTGTTGACAGCTTCCATTACTGAACTTCAGTATGCAGATGACCTCACACTTGCTTCTCACACTGAATGCGACCTACAGGAGATCCTGAACACCTACACAGATGTTTATGCTTTGACTATACTGCATATATATATATATATTTACTGTACATGTACCTCACAATATTCTACAGTATTCATGTGTAGAGCAGAAATCTGAATAGTCAAAGCAATTTTCCCACAGACACAGTGTTATAAATGGAGGATTTGTTCCTGGGGCTGACTTTCTGACACCTTATGCAACAAGAACTAACCCAATTAACAACAAAAGACATAACTCAATAAAGCTGTACAGAAAATCACTTAATGTACAATTAAATGAATACTCACCATAAATACATTAAAAGAGAACAAAGAGTAGATTTTAATATCTCAGGAGTTGATTTATACTCCTTTGTGGTAATGTTTATTTTATGCCAGAAAAGTCTCGTAGGATCCCCTCACAGAGGGAAGAACACTGGCACAGATGCCTTCTATCTGAGAGAGGAGGGAGTGAGACATAGGTGTAGCTTCTGTGTACTTCCTCTCCAAACTACGCAGACCACTGACTGACTAACACAGGGAAATGCCCAGATACATGTGTCAGCACCTCAGCATCTTTTGATGATATAAAAAAAAAAAAAAAAAAAAAAAAATATATTCATAAATTGAGGTTTTCATTTGTAGAATATAGCACAGGATTGCCAAAAACAAAAATTATTTGGTACAAAGGACAGGTCACTGACCACACACCCTGAGTTGGTACCTGTGCAGTGAACACTATTTGGTGGAGTGGCAATGTGGGACAGTCTAAAGTAGTTTAGGCAAAAATTTTGAAGTTTGCATGACAGGGAAACAATGTGCATCAGCAAAAATGTATTGTGCATAGTGATAAGGTGTTGACTTATTTACAATCTACACATGTGCAAAATAATGTACTGTATCATGGGAGTAAGTATAGTGGGGATTGTTTGTACGTATACAATTTTGTCCTGTAATATAAGAACAAAGGATGTGAGTCATGGACAAAGGCTTGGACAAATTAAGACAATGATATAATCTATTATATTAATAAAGTCATGTTTTTTATTAAATAATTTACTTTACTCATATTTTTTCCTGAAATAAGAAGTTGCTGAGAAAACTTACCCATTATTGTAGGATATAATTTGCTTCTCCTGCAACATTACCTGTACTGTATTATTCCCCTTTACCGTACTATGCAGATACGAAGACTTCATTTACTGGCACTGAATCATAAAATTTCTACACCAGACAATACAATATTATAGGGATCTTTCAGCCACACTATTCCATAAAATAATTTATAGCACATACTTAATTCTTTCAGCCGCCACATCCTTGTCTTCCTCTGCTCCAGCTAAATTCTTGGCAGGAGCTGTATTTCTTGGTATGGGTCTCAAACACTTGTGCCAGCAGTGCAACACCATGATACCTATCACCGTCCACAGGGCCAAGGTGAGGTAATGTAGGCCAAGACCCCCCTCCATCTTAGTGTCCCATGAGAAGGGTGACACATATACATCCACATCAAAACTAGCCATTATGGAGGTCTGTGTTGGAGAGGAACATGAACAGTGAGTTTCAGACTGAGGCCCCAACAAAATGAAACAAAATATTATACTATTTCCTCTGAGTTGAACTTAACAACTATCACAGTTTACCTATTACACTCTACCCATCCTCATGTTAATCTGCTACAACCTGAATATACTGTATCTTGAAAACACTGTTGTTTTCATTCACTTGTACTAGGATTGTTTTATTTTCAAAACTGTTAAGAAAGTATGAAAAGTGTAAAATGATCAATAATAACTATTTCTACAGACAAAGGAATTCAGCAATCAAATGGTTAATTAACTAAATATTTCTCTCACGATATACCTCACTACAGTATTATAGCACAATATATCTTGCTGTAGTGAAATATACTGTTATATGATCAAATGAGATAATCAATTACAGTACAATCTATCTAAAATCCTATATTTGATACAATCTATATGTCAATTATATTCCCCAAATCTCCCCAAAATTATTTAATGATTCCTGCTGTCAGTTTTTAATTATTCAAAGTCTCATCGTTAACATTTTATGTAGGTCTCCTCCTCTCCTCTGTGCATACACTTGCAAGGGCAGTCCTTATTTTCTCGACCATATTACAAGTACAGTAATCATACACTATGAAATTCCTAAAACTGTACAGCTATTTGCCATTTGCTCACCTTGGTAAAGCTGACAGCCAGATCCTTGATCCCACAGGCAAAGGTGAAGGGAGGAAATATGAGGAACACATACTTCATAACATTTGCCACATCTGTCAGGATCTGTGAGGATTACCAGAAGGGGAAGAGATGAACAACGGGTATAGTGGCAGTGAGTCGTGGTAAAACAGCCTCACTAATAATGTCAACATGTACAGTAATAGCCAGATTATCTTGACTAGAGATAAAAATTTCTGCTTTTGATAATTACATCTCCAGGCACATAAATTGTTTCAAGCTGACTGTGATAATATGTAAGTTGAACTGCATACACTACATACAAACACAGGAAAGATTTTAATAATGTGAGAAGAATATATACCCTGTACTTTGCTAACAGAGTTTGATAGCCACTAATGTGTGAAGAATATTGCCAGTTGTAGTGAAAGCGCTTGTCATTATTTGGATCAAAAGACCATTCAGTTGCTTTTATGATTGACACACAATCAACTTTCTGGATGTTGATATAAAACCCCACATAAATTAAGACCCCCATTTCAATGTATACTTATTTGAAGTAAATTATAAAATTAATTTCGTGACAAAGATGATTAAGAACCATAATATGCATATATATAAAATTAAAGAAATCTAATCCATATCACCAGAAATGAATGTTAAAAAACTTTCAATGTAGAAAAGAATCAACATCCAAGCTCCTGTACCCAAGACCACCATGTTGTTCATTAACTAAAGTTTGGTAGTGCAGCCACCACACTACTGTCACTCAACTTCTGTGAGACTCTGTCATCTACTACTACTATAACTTCTAATCCAGGGAACAAACCCCCTTAAGGTAGTGCTGGTGCTGCCTCTTGCTCCAGAACCTACTACAGCAGTAGCTCTCACCCTGAAGAGATTACCTTACTGTACAGGAGGATACCAACACCACTCTGCACCCTAGACTTAGAGAGTGACTCAAAACTCACCACATTAATTTATTTGCAAAAAGTGAGATATATGGTAAGTTGAGAGAGTAACTGAGTTTAGAACTCTTCCAAATATTTCTCATAAGTACTGTATTTAACTTTGATTTACATAATTTCACTTTACATGCCATTCAACATTAACAAAATTTCTGTAAATCAAGTGTTTACTAATGTGTGAAAATATACAAACCTATTGTGACCATTAAGTAACTACACCAAGGTAAAGTGTCTCAATAGTTGCCACAATATGTTGACTCTAATACTCATAGACTTTAAACCTATAGAAAAAAATGGGGTTGCCACACTAAGACTGAAAAGTCTGTGATGCTGGTGACACAAACTTTCAGTGACGGTGGGCAGTAAACATCACCATCGCCCCATTCCTATACACATTTATTTACTCTTTAGCAAATATGAATCCAAAGAAAGCAGACAATGCTTCACCTGTCATGTCAGAAACACAGTTACAGCTTCTCAGTACAGTAACATTGATTCTCTCATCCCATCACCACATTGGTGAACAGAGGCAGGCAGAGGTACCCTGCTAATTCCAGTAACAGTGGGTCTCAAAGAACTAAGACTTCAACACACAAGGAGGCAGCACAGTTAACACTATACTCAACCATGTTCTCTTCCACAATTGTAAAGTTTGCTACCATTTACAGCTGGGTGTACTGTACTGGGGATACAATGGCATTGAACCAGAGATCCTCAGGACAGGAGACGAGGGCGGTATCCTCTTGACTGCTGCACTCCACAATATCAGTACTGGGTACTTAAGGTTGTAAAGGAAAATGAGGTGAAGCAACAGTTAGAAGCAGACCCCAGAAAATGAAACGGAAGACAGAATTTGGAAGTAACTCATCAGTTCATCACATTTTAACACCTACTGGTGGGGATGAGATGGTCATGGTGTACAACAGCCCTGTACAAAACACAACCACTCACGTCACCTCTCTTCCCATAAGATGAGAGGAGTTGCCTCAGAAGAAACTCTTATTGGAACCTCCACTTCTCCACCAGTGATGGAGATTCTGTTCATAAATTTTACTCCCAAAACTAATGCTAAGTGAATGTACATATCTAGTTAAGGTAGTCTCTCAGTGTAATGTTGGTGTCATTTTTTGTGACTCATCAAAAGGCAGTCAGTTTGGGGCATTCCTACATCTCCATTTAAGAGGAATATTTATAGTAAAATCTTTGATAGCCTGAACCCAAGCCAGTCAGTAATCACCGAGACCTGTGTGTACCTTGTGACTGGCAAGAGAGCTTGTTGTTGTCAGTACTAACTTAACTGACTTTATTCAATATCTTTTATTTTTTAATATGGTACAGTATCTGTACTTTATATTTAAATAAAAAAGGCATTATTTTTTTCCAGATTTCATGCACAGTGCTACAGGCTGACCTTGCAAATTTGTGTTTCAGAAAAAGGATTTTTTAACACTTATTTCACTTTATATAAATATTGCTGTTTAGAAATACAGTAAATATAATATAAAAATAAAATTAAGAAAAATGAAGAGTGGGTATGTATGTGTGGGAACTGAACGTGTGTGGAGGTGGTAGACTATAACTATGTTGGCGATTTGCCAGCCCAGCTGCCATGTTTCTTGTTACATTTAATGAAACTATAAAAGTTGTCAAAAAATCAATGCAATACTCTTATGTGGCTTAGAAATAAAGAAAATATAATATAAAACTAAAAAATAAGACAAATTAAGAGCATGGATGTAGAGGTGGTGGGCTATAACTGAATAGCTGTGATGTCAAGGCGAACACACAGCACAATATTGCAGCCACACGTCTGTGAGTTAGCTGGTTGACTGCCTCGCTGAACTGTTTTGTCTCCCATAGGATGATTTGAGTGTGAAAGGAGCTATTTTTTGTACATAAAATATATGCTGTTGTATTTTATGATATGCTATGTATCAATTTTATTGTTCATCGTAGCAATAAATATGGCATCTCATTCCCGTTGCGTGCAGTATTCAAACTTATGATTCTAGCTGATTTTGGAGGAATTGTTATTTTTATTGTTATTATTTCATTTTGGTGCTGGTTAGTTGAACCTGCCAGTTATCTGGATAATGGATAACTGGGGTTCTTTATATGTACAGTAATTAAAATCCGAGATGGGGTGCTGTGATCACGGCAAAAATATACATCACTCAGTGAGCGACCACACTGGTCTTACCAGCACAGTTTAAAAATAAGTTTCTTACCAGTAATCAGTTTGGCCAGAAATAGCAAACTGTGATGCTCATGATTGTGATGTAATATAGTTTAATTTATGTTCAATTTCAAAGCTTATGAGGAAAAAAATGTGGATTGCAGATTTCTATAAGCAGAAGAAAAACGTGCATATACAGTATTTAAAACTGTAAAATTCAAAACATAATTAATTTAATCACAGTCTAAGTATATACAGACAATTGTTCAGGATGTGAATAAGATTCTACAGAAACTGGGCTAAAGACCGACTGTACAGGATAAGTAATGAAGTATACACATGGTAGACCCATTGAACGGAGAGACAGCTGCATTTGCTTCTTTTCCAGCTTCAAAACAGGTGCATTTAATATTTATTTTGGTGCTTCAGTATATAACATAAAAAAGTCTCGCCTACTTTAATATGTACACTTGTGTATTTCTATGCACTTTACAAGTTCTTTGGTTAATTCTGGAGGAGAACTTCAACAAATACCCTGGAAGATCTATTGCTTGCTCAGGTTTTACTTTTTACTTTTATCCTCTTCGCCACTGATCGGCTTGTTAGCCGCTTGGGCGATCGGTCACGTCTCTTTTCATTTATCTTCTTCACCAAAAGATAAGCTCGCTAGCCGCCCGGGCGATCGGTCACGTCTCTGTTACGCCCTGTTGGCAAATACTGGGCATGCATCGGCTTCTGAATGTACCTGAACCCGCTCCAGTGTTGGTCAAGTCTTGTCTTGAAAGAGCTCACACTCAGTGCCGTCACAACACTCTCTGGTAGATTGTTCCAAGAGTTTACAACCCTTACTCCGAAAAAGTTTGCCCTCACGGTTTTCTGGACTTGCGGCTTCCTCAATCTTGAGCTGTGACCCCTTGTGGGGCGAGCGTCCACCAGCTCCAAGTAAGGACACTCAACTGAGTAGTGCCCCCTGAGATGCTTATACACCTCAACTAGGTTCCCCCTTGCCCGTCTGTAGTATAAGCTAAGCAAGTTCAGGCGCTCCAATCTCTCAGGGTAGCTGAGGTGCCGAAGTGCAGGCACCAGTCTGGTGGCCCTCCGTTGAACATTTTCAACCAACTGACAGTCCCTAGCATATCTCGGGGACCAGATGGGGTGACAGTACTCCAGATGGGGAAGCACTTCACTCCTGAAGATCGTTACGAGGGACGGACCGTCTAGATATCTGAACGACTCGCACAACAACAATCCTCTGTATATAAATTAGTACAATTTATCTGCATAATACTAATTAATATCATTGAAGACAGTTATTACTTTGATGTCAATTACTGTGTAAATGAAACAATAGTTGACATCATGAGACAGGTGACACATATGTACATAGATTTTACACATATATCAAGATCATAAATAATGTATATATGCATGCATGTCTTTATTTCTATTACCGTATATGCTCGAGTAGAGAGAGAGTTTTTATGACAAACTTTAATGCAGAAACCATGTGATCGAACTATACGCATAGTATTTTTGACATGTTAAAAATCATGCATTTCCGTGTGTCATTAACGGGGAACAATTGCTCCTTTAACATGGGCTTGCCTACCATACCCCTAGATTTTTTCTTTACGCTTTTACACGAAGAGCAGAACTTCATTCACTATATACACCGCTTTAAATCTACAAAAACTGATACCTGTATAAAAGAAGACTGGTGAGCTTTGTTGCCAAGTTACTGTAGACTGGTCATTGTAACCACATCCACCTAGCCCTGTCCCTGTGAGCTTTGCTTTGGTTATTTTTCAAATCGTAATTTTTGGTAGATACACTATACGTACATAATTTTCTTTAATTTTTTTTTTACTCAGTCATATATATAAACACACAACCTTACATACAGAATGTGCAAAAAGATATAGAAGAAATAATTATCATCCGGTCAATAACATAACGGTCAT